CGCAAAAACGATGTTGCAATGAACCCTCCTTCCAAGCGGGAAGTGCCCCGTTGGAAGGCATCCGTCTGTGAACCCCCAATCTTGCCAAAACGCCATCACTGAGACTTCGACGCCGCGAACCATCTTGATTGTTTCGTCCTGAATCCTAAATCGTGCCAGAACGCCGTTCCCAGGACTTCAACACCGCAAAACAGAGTTATTGTTGCATCCTGGCACTCGGGTGAACGCGCGAGAACACCACTCCTGGGACTTCATCGGTACCAATCTTTGACACATTCTGAACTCCTATGACGAATTTGCGTGCCGCTAAGGCGAGAGCCACACTGCGAAACAAGACATGCTTCAATCCTTGAAACCGCGGCAAAGTTTGAAGAGGACTGTGTGCGGCACTGCTGGCTCGAGCGACATTTCAAAAATAGCCCCCGCTTCTTCAGTGAGCAGTTGCGACTCGTTGAAACGAATGTGCGCGGCGGTGGGCGAGAGCACAATTTTTAAACCGGCCCGCCCTCAATCAGTGAAACTGATGATGAACATTTTCAGCTTCAGTATCATCAGTGGTGAAGAAGTCTCAGGCAAAACGACTGGCCCGCCCACCGACTCTTTTGTGGATGTGACAGGGAGGAGCTGTTTTTGATCCAGAAAAGGGTTGGAGGAGGTGAGGGAGGCTGGAGGAATACTTAATGAGGTGGGGGAGGGGGAGGAGGAGGGAGAGGGGGGTGGAGAGTAGGATTGGAGAGGAGGATTGAAGATGATGATGGATCACCAGGCGGCACGAGTGGCGCGCGTGAGGGAATGAGGTGAGGAGGAGCGAGCAGGAGGGAGGAGGTGCCAGGAGGGGGGAAGCGGAGCAGGAGATGGGCGGATGACAGCGGAGGGGAACGATGAGGTGGAGTGAGAAGGACGATGTGGAGGATCATGAAGGGGCGGGCAGGTGGAGAGATGAAAGGGAAGGGCGGGGTGAGGTGGGGGAGGAGGTGGTGGAGGAGGAGGAGGAGATGTATGAGGAAGATGCGGAGGAACGACCAACTGTCAATGAATCGAATCATGGCCGAGAGATCGGTGGGTTTTTTGGTTGACAACACCCTCAGTGCTGACCGATCCTGTAGACGGTCGCTCGTCAGCGCAAGTCCGCGTGTTCTGCATCATTTGCATCAGCATTCGTATTACCACTAATTGTTGTAGCAGTAGTAGTTTCTGGGATGATGATCAGCATCATCGAACTGTCATGCATAGCATCCCCAGCACGATACTAACATTGATGGTGCTAAAGTATCACGCATCGCGTAATCCCACCCGCCCATCTAGAAGCAACGTTGCCAGGGAAGTTGTTCTAAGCAGGGCAGTGTACAAGCACGTTGTGGATCGGTTATCTTGGAAACGTGCAGTGGTCCGCAGACGTTTCTGGATCAATTGCTGCATTATTGCGTAACTGTTCCCAAACAGCCTCGATGCTTGTCATTCTAGGATTGTGTCATGGTGTTATCTTGCATTCCCCTGGCGTGAGAAGGAGTATTGGGCACTCTGACTTTGTTGTATCCAGGATCTGTAAGAACGGTTGCCAGGAGAGCTGTCATTGCTCCCACGATTTGTTATAAGCCGTCTGAACTCGGCCTGGTACCCTCGTGGAGGCATGAGGAGGGGAAGAGGAGGAGGGCTGCAGAGGGAAAGCGGATAAGGAGGATGATGATGATGATGAGGAGCGGGAGGAGAAGGAGGAGGAGGAGGAGGAATGCGGCACGAAAACGCTCAGGAAGAGGAGGAGGGGGAGGCAGGATGGGAGGATCGAAGGAGGAACGATGATAAGGAGAATGAGGAGTCACTTTTCGGGGATATGCCATTTCGAAGCCCGCCTGGGGTACTGTTAGGGCTCTCTATTGGGGCTTTCGGGAGCGCTTTTGGGGGGTCTGGGAGGCCTCTTGAGACCCTATTGGCCCTAGTGGCTCAACTGGAGGGGGGTCCTCAATCCAGTCCTCCCCTCCACGGAGGCTCAAAAATGACACTTTGGGACCCTTTCGGCGAGATCTTGGGGCGCTTTTTGGTGCGTCGCCCTCTTGGGCCCCTCTTAGGGCTCTTGGGCCATCCTGCAGCCATCTTGAGGCCTCGGAGGCCTCTTGGCCCAAAGGCGAGAACGCACAACACATGGATTTCTAGGTTTTCTATGTAGTCCCTTGGGGAGGTCCTGTGAGGACTCGAAGAGCACATGGAACCGTCGTCGGGCCGTTTTGAGGCCTCTTGGAGGTATACCGGAGGCTATCTTGACCCATCTTCGAGTATCACTGGACATCTTGAAGGCCATCTTGCGCTCTCAGAAGCTCTCTTGGAGCCATATCGGGCCATCTTGGACGCTCTTTAACGCCTCGAGCCCCAACCCCTCCCAGACCCAGTGGAGGGGTAGGGGGAGAGGTTAAACCCCTCCCCGAGCAGGGCAGGAAAGGATTTTGCCAGAGAGGAGACACGAGTTCGTTAAACCATCTACGCCAAGAGGGCTTATAACATTTCAAGGAAACTGGTACATCTCATGCTTACGATCGAGATGATAATGCTGATGCGAGTCAGATTCGCAGGCAAGAGCATGCTGAGGAGGAACAGGATGAGTATTTTAGAGAAGATCGGGGAATAGGAAGAGAGCGAGAAGGGATGAGAGTGGATAACGGAAGGGGGGAGCGAGAAGCGTCCTGGCTCGCCTATGGGCCTACCAAACAATGTTCTAAGAACCTGTTGTGGTCTGCGCGAAATGTTCTTAGAACATTTCTGGCTGAATCTGTTTCGTTTTAACACATCGGGCTTCTGTTCTAAGAACTTTGTTTTTGTCCTTAGAAAATGCTTGAGTACCAAGAACATTTCGTGGTAGGCCAACAGGAATGCCGGGACGGTCGGTCCCTGCTCAATAGAGGGTTCTCCTAAGGTGGGGCTGGGGAGCGGGCTCAGCTGGATGCTCCCGTTGCACGCGTTTTCTTCTTCTAGGGTCCGTTCGGGGCGATGTTCCTCCCAAGCTCACCTTTGTCCCTGTTCCACCTTTCTGCCCCCCCCCCGACGTGGGATTGGTCGAGCTGGTCAGCCGCACCATTCATTGCGGTCGGCTGACAGCGGAGTCGTCAGTGCCATAGGCCCCGCTGGGAGAAGGGCCGGGTCTCTAGGAGGGGGGGAGGGAGGCCCACCACCACCATCGAAGAAAAACAAAACGCTGTAAACATAGACTTTCGGCGCTCCGCGTGGATTTTTTGGATCCGCGCTGGGCCCGCCGGCGGCGCCTCTGGCGCCGCCCCTGGCGCGTTCTGCGCGCCAGGGAGGGGTGTCCGGCGCGGATCCGAGAAATCCGCGCCGACCTCCAAACGTTAATGTTTGAGGGTTCTTTTTTTCCTATGCACCAGCCTCCTACCTTCCGAGTGTTTTGGCCGATGTTTGCTTCGGCGGCCCTTGCTGGGGCTCGGGGCCGTCAAAGTTCGGGATACACTGCCATACGGCTTTGAGCGTTGGGAGGGTCCACATTGCGAAGCACTCGCGACGTTGGGTGGAGGGTTGGGGAGGGGGACAGTTCTTCCCTCCTCCGCCTTCTCCTCGCTCTCCTCCTCTCCTGTTCATACCTGCTTTTCCTCGTCCTCCCCCGATGATGATGATGCTGATGATGATGATGATGATTATGATGCTGATGATGATGAAGATGATGATGATGATGATCATGATCATGATGATGCTGATGCTGATGCTGATGCTGATGCTGATGCTGATGCTGATGATGATGATGATGATGATGATGATGATGATGATGATGATGATGATGATGATGATGATGATGGTGGTGATGATCGTGGTTGTGATGTTGATGATGTTGGTGATAGTGATGTTGATGTTTATGCTGATGTCGTTGATGCTGATGTCGTTGATGTTGTTATTGTTGTTGATGTTAATCTTGATGAGGAGGAGGAGGGCCAAAAGCTTGAATGGCGAAGGATGGTCAGCAGCGTCAGGAGAAGGCCAGAAGCGCCAGAGGAGGATGTGGAGGAGAAGGGTAGAACACATCCTCGAACGAGCCAAGAAAACCCAGGCGCCCTGACCGCTATCCCGAGGGGTATGGACCCTCCCCCCGGGGGCCACTCTCTTCGGCCCGAGCCGCTCCTGGACGGGCCCCCCGGCGTCCAGCATGGGGCATGCGAAGACAACCAGAAAGACCTTCCGCCGTGACCCTCTCACGACGCGAGGGGGGGTCACGGGGAGGGAGTCCCCTCGAGGGAAGAGTCGCGGGCGGCCAAGAGGGGGGTGATGACTAGGGGGGGGGGATATCATGGCGTGGGTCATGATATGTTGCAGATTTCATGGCGCCTCTTCTTATTTCATTACGCCCCTACCCCCCCCGGGGCCGCGCACGTGCCGCTGGTCATAATTTGCGTCCCCCCTATAGGACTCTCTCCTCTTGGCCGCCCCCGGAAGAAACACCATATGTCCATGACCAAGATGTCGCGGGATTTTGTGGAAGCCGATCGTTGTCATCGTCCATGAAGGTCGTCGCCGAGTCAGGAGGTCTATCCGCAAACTGGCGGTGACCAAGCTGGACTGTGACCAAGATTGACACCGACGTATGAGCGGTCAGAAATGATTGGTCATGGTCACCGTTCCCTTTCCTTCCATGCCCGCCCTATCTCGACCAGCGCCGCCGTGCACGCATCGGCTCGAGCGCCTTCACTGCAGCAATTGTCCCCCCTCCTCCGCCGGCGCGGCGGCTGTCCCCTCCCGGCCGCGCCGAGGTAGGGGCGGCCTGGGGCTTGGGCATCGCGATTGTCTCGGTTGCTGGCAAGAGGGTTCTCGTGCTTCTGTGCCAGCGTTGTGGTGCAGTCGATGCCGTGTCGGCTATGTGGTGCAAGTTGCGTTGTGCAAGCCAGGTGGCGCAAGCCAGGATGGGGCAGTACAAACAATGGGCCTTACGTGATGCAGGTCATGTTGTGACATCGTGGGGGCTATGTGGTGCAACATGCGTGGTGTAAACCATGAGGTGCTGATGTCAAGCAGTGGAGAAGCGTCCTGGCCCGCCTATAGGCCTACCAAACAATGTTCTAAGAACCTTCTGTTGTTTCCACAGCATGTTCTTAGACCATATCTGGTTGGGAGTGTTTTGTTTTATCATCTCGGGCGAATGTTCTAAGAACTGGGTTTTTTGTTCTTAGAACACTTTCTGGGTTCTAAGAACATTTCGTGGTAGGACTGTAGGAATGCCGGGACGGTCGGTCCCTGCTCTGACGTGGTTGACATTGCGTGTTGCGAGTTGTGGGGTGGCGCACGCGGGATAAGAGCTGCGCTGTGCAAGTTGTTCAGCGCAAGCCATGTGGTGTGAGTTGTTCTGCGCAGGCAATACACGCAACATCCTGAAAGCCAAGCCCCCCCCCTACCCTCCCCTGGCTCCGAATCGGCATCGGCAACGCCACGGGTTGAGTCCGACGGCCGACAGCAGCCCAGGGGAGCTCCCCGCCTCCGCACCTCGGCGCGGCCGGTGCACGGCTCCTCTCCTCGGCTGAGCGCCGCGCCCGCGATGCCCGGGGTGGACAACGTCGCGGCCGAGCCCTCGAACGCCCGGGGCGGCGGCGACGGCAACGTCGACGCCGCCGCAGGGGACGACGACATCGAGGGTCGAGGTCCGAGGGTCGAGGTTCGAGGGGCGATCTGGCCCTCTCGGGATCGGGGAGCGGTGGCTCGTGCACTCCCGTGTGGCCTCCCCGGTGGTGTCCCGCATGTTCTCCCGTATCGTTTCCCCTATGGTCTCCCGTGTGCCTGCCCGTATGTTTCCCCCTGTGGTTTGGGGTATGGTCTTCCGTCTGTGTTCCCGCATCGTCTCTCGCCCGGTCCCTCGCGTGGTCTTTCGTTTGGTATCCCGTATGATCTCATGTCTGACCTCCCGTGCGTATGCTCTCCCGCATGCTCTCCCCCATGGTCTCCCGCGTGTTCTCCCGCATGCTCTGGGCTCTCCCGTATGGTCCCCCGCATGGTTTCGCGCGTATGCTTTCTGGCATGGTCTCACGTACGGTCTCGTGGATGGTCTTTGGTATGGCCTGCCGTATGGCGTCTTCTAGGCTTCCCGTACGTTGTCCCGTATGCGCTCCCATCTGCTCTACTGGATCGTCTTCCCGTCTGCGCTCCCGTGTGCTCTCCCATGTTGTCTCCCGCATGGCTCGCCCGTCTGCTCCTCTGAATGTTCTACCGCATGCTCTCCCGCATGTTCTCCCATATGCTCCCGTATGATCTCCCGTCCGTTCTCCCGTATGGCGTCCCGCATGGTCTTCCCGCGTGTTTTTCTTGGGCCATCTGGGGCGCGATGGTTCAAACGAGTTCTCCCAAAGAGGTTCGCTGGATCCATCTCGAGGCCTTCTGGGAGTCAGCGCTGCGCCTCTGCTGCGTGGCATGGCCGTAACGCTGCACGGGTATCGCTCTACGCCCGTGGGTGTCCTGGTGCTTTCCTTGGGGCCTCTTTGGGGTCTCTTTGTGGCCCTCCTGGGGCCCCCCTTGAACCTCCAGTGGGCCTCTTGTGGGCCGAGTCGGGATTTCTCGGGGCTGCGCTGGGCACGGTGGATACTGCCGAGCTGTGCAACTTTTCGGCAGGAAGGCCCGAAAGGTTCCAGGCATCGTTATCCGAATGCCCAGCCGAGCCCCAGGAAGGCCGCAAGACAGCGTCGAGACCAGGAGGGCCCCGAGGCCAGGCGGGCACGGGAGGAGCCCCCGTGCAGCAAAACGCCAGCACAGCATTGCGTTAGGCAGACCCGGGGCCAGGGTGGGAGGCGCCCCACAGGCAACATGGCTTCTGCCGTGCCCCGGCGTGCCGCTGGCAAGGTTTTTTGCGTTCCAGCACGCGTGTGCCCGCGAAAACTACGCAGATGGGTCGATTGTGCGCACGTTCGCGTTTCGGGCCGCTTGTAATCGTCCCTGTTCTCCACCCCGGGTGACGCGGTATCGGCCTGCGCAAGCGACCGCGTGATGTTCTGCGCCATCGTGCGTCAGGCCTCTCCTCTTTCGTCGCCCACATGGCGTGCTGATGCAGTTCATCACATATCATCATGCTGCGTATCACTGCAGCGGTTACGCATTCGTTATACCTCGTTTGAGCTATCGTTGGTTGTAATGTCAGTCTGAGGGGGCCCAACTGTCTTACAGTCCCTTGTGTGTGACTATGGGGGAGGGGTCCGCGGTGCGGTTTATCGTTGTTGTCGTTGACGCTGACGTTCGATTTCATGGGCTTTCGCTTGAGACGTCCTTGCGATGTGTCCAGGAATCGCGCTATCGCCTTGGACTTCCGAACAATTGATTAACGAATCGTTTTCTCGACTCTGCAATCGCGGTGTCGCTCGAGACCTCCCCATTATCTACTCAGGACTCCAGAGCTCCCCAGAGGCATCCAGTGGTTTCCGTGCCTCCGTCGTCGGAAGGCCTCCAGAGGCCTCTGGGGTCCAAGGAGGGGCAGGAAGCGGAGACACATGCTCGAACCTCGAGTCCAGAATCGCCACCCCCGTGATCCCTCGAGGCCGCAGTGCCCCCGCCCGACCCCCGTTTGGGCCGCGACTAGGGGAGGCTGCATGGCCGAGACCCTGAGATCTTGCCTTGTTCTGGGCCCCAGAACTATCACATATTAACCTGTCGCAGGATGATGGGGTCCAGGATGGTCGGGCGGGCATTTTTTCGGACGATGTTGCAACTTTCTCGTGACGTCGGATCTCAGGAGAAGCGTAATCAGCAGCTCGGACCGCGCGCCCCGCATTGGCCCTCCGTTACCCTCGTGGCCGCAGTGCACTCCCCCACTGGAACCCCCCCCTCCCTCAAGCAGTGGCGAAGCGTCTTGGAGTACCTACAGGCCCACCAAGCGATGTTATAATAACCTTTTGTGGCTCCTACGAAATGTTTCCAGAGCATCTTTGACTGGGACTGTCTTGTTTTAGTACGTCGGGCTTATGTTCTAAGAACATTGTTTTCGCTTTTAGAGCATTTTTGAGTTCTAAGGGCACGGCATCTTCTGCAAGGTCAATAGGCATGCCGGGACGGTTGGTCCCTGCTCAAGTCCCCCTCGAGGGTGACGGCAAGTTGGGACCAGCCCAGGAGGGAGAATTCTCGACCCCCTCAAGGGGCACAGCCCCCGACCTTCGGTGTCTGCTGTTTTCCAATACGGTGCCCCAGGGAGTCCCGACTTTTTTTGGGGGGGAGAAGAGGCGGGAGAGTCGAAAAAGGGAGACATCGCACACGCCTCATCCTTTTGCCCACGTCTGGCTTTTCGTCCTGAGCTGGTGTTGGCGGCCCCGCAGGCCGAGAAATCGGGGGAACATGTTCGCCAGTCCCCCCCCCTTAATCGACCCCCCTCACCCTCCCCGTCCCTCCCCGTCGCCGGTGGTTTTCATGCCCTGACTCGGGCCTCCAGCGGCCCTTCGGGGCGATCCGGGCACCCCTGCACCGCTCTTGGCGAAGCGCAGACGCTGGGGATTTCGCCGAGGCTGGGAACCCGCTGGGAACCCGCCGAGAACCACCGAAAGCGCCCGACAACCTCGAGCCTCGAGGGTGTGCGGAAGGTCCGCTGGCGGGCCTTTGTGTCGTGGCCTGTCGCATGTCCCTTACACTTGGTTGTGGTTGTCCATCACGTGGTGGCCAATGGAGGCCCAAGCAAAGTGTGTATGCTGTTTTCTTTATCTTTACGAGGGACGGGAAATCCCCCCCCCAAAACAGGACCTCCTGTATCCGTGTGGCCCCTTAGACGCCCTTGCAGGAGGCCCCCAGGGCTTGGGAGCTCCTGGAATCCCTTGCTGGGCCTAGACAACGGGCCCGAATCGTTCAGGAGGGCGGCCGAACGGCCCCCCGAGGGACCCAAGAGGCCCCAGGCACCCACCAGACGCCCGAAAACGATCCAAAGCAGAAGACCCCCCAAGAGACTTTCGAAACGTAGAAAACATGATGCCCCATACTTTCTCTGTGATTTTGGGAATGCTCTGTTCTTCGGTCTACCAGGCGTTCGACACGGCCCAGGAGGCCCGAAAATCGCCCCAATATTATCCGCAGGGGCTTTCAGGCAGTCCAAGAGAGCCCCAAGAGTTCCAAGATGGTCCGAAGAGAGCCCCATGACGGCTGAAGATCGCCCCAAGATTTTCGAAGGTTTTCAAATCGTGACCTGGTCGTTCAGGGAGACCGCGGTTGGAAGCGAGATGGTCTCGAGGATTCCTCTCAGAGGCCCCCAGAAGGCGCCAAAGAGGCTTCCAGAAGGCCCCAATGAGCCGTTTAAAACCGTTCGTCAGGCCCCCAAGATTCTCTCCGAGGGGAGCCTCCGCAAAAAGAGCTGAGGAGGAGGATAAATAATTCGCATAATAGGGCTATACCGACGATGAGGAGAAGGAAACCTGAGGGAAGGAAAGGAGAATCATCATTATACCGGCCATGTCGGGAACGGCACCAAGGAGAAAGTGCGCCAGTGGATCTCCCTGAATACACTAAAGGGGAGGGGGGGTTCCAGAACCCCCCCCTTCCCCCCCTTCCCCCTCTTAAGGGGGGGGGGGTCCCGACCCCTCCCCCCCCTCCCCCCCTTGGCGCTGGAAAGGGGGGGGGGGGTCAGACCCCCCCCCCTCCCGCCCTTTGCGCCAGAAAGGGAGCCCGGGAGGGGGGGCCTCTCTCGCTTTTTCTTTCTGCACTGGAGAAGGTGCGTAGGGAGTAAGGAGTTGGGAGTAGGGAGCGGTGAGTAGTGAGTAGTGAGTTAGTGCGTAGTGAGTAGTGAGTATTGGGTAGTGAGTACTGGGTAGTGAGTGGCGAGTAGGGAGTAGGGAGTAGGGAGTGTGGAGTAGTGAGTAGTGAGTAGTGTGCACTGATAAGGGAGTAGTGAGTGGCGAGTAGTGAGTAGTGAATAGTGAGTACTGAGTGGGGACTAGGGAGTAATGAGTATTGGGTAGTGAGTAGTGGGTAGTGAGTAGTGGGTGGCGAGTGGTGATTAGTGAGTAGTGAATAGTGGGTAGTGCGTAGTGCGTAGTGAGTAGTGAGTAGTGAGTAGTGAGTATTGAGTAGTGAGTAGTGAGTAGTGAGTAGCGAGTAGTGAGTAGTGAGTAGTAAGTAGTGAGTACTGAGTAGTACGTCGTGCGTTGTGAGCAGTGAGTAGTGAGTAGTGATGAATAGAGAGTAGTGGGTAGTGGCAGTGGGTAGTTAGGAGTGAGTAGCGAGTAGGGAGTAGCGAGTAGTGAGTAGTGAGGAGCGAGTAGGGGGTAGCTAGTAGTGAGTAGTGAGTAGAGAGTAGTCGGTAGTTGGTAGTGGGTAGTGATTAGTGAGTAACGAATAGGGAGTAGCGAGTAGTGAGAAGTGAGTAGTGGGTAGGGAATAGGGAGTCGTGAGCAGTGAGTAGTAAGAAGTGGGTAGCGAATAGTGGGTAGTGAGTAGCGATTAGTGAGTGGTGGGTAGTGGGTGTTGAGTAGTGACTAGTGACTAATGACTAGTGCGTTGTGACTAGTGACTCGAGACTATGTAGTGACTAGTGAGTAGTGAGTAGTGAGTAGCGGGGAGTGAGTAGTGAGTATTGAGTAGCGAGTATGGGAGTAGCGAGTAGTGAGTACTGTGTAGTCAGTATTGTGTAGGGAGTACGGAGTAGCGAGTAGCGAGCAATGGGTAGTGAGTAGTGATTTGTGGGCAATGAGTAGTGAGTAGTGGGTAGTGGATTAGTTGGTAGTGGGTAATGGGGGGAGTGATTAGTGTGTAGTGAGTAGGGAGTAGTGAGTAGTGCTTAGTGAATAGTGAGTATTGAGTAGTGGGTAGTGAGAAGTGAGTAATGAGTAGTGAGTAGGGAGGAGGGAGCGGTGAGCAGGGAGTAGTGAGTAGCGAGTAGTGGGTGGTGGGTAGTAAGTAGTGGATAGTGAGTAGTGAGTCGTGAGTAGTGAGTAGGGGGTAGTGAGAAGTGAGTAGCGAATAGCAAGTAGTCAGTAGTGGGTGGTGAGTAATGAGTAGTGAGTGCCCCTTGGGGCTGGGGTTAGTGGTTGGGGTTAGGGTTAGGGGTTTGGGTTAGGGTGACGACTAAGGGTAGGGGTGGCGGGGGTAGGGTTCCGGAGTCAGGTGGCGGCGTGGCGAAAGGGGGGGAGGGGGGGGGTACGGCCAAAGAGGGGGAGGGGGGGGTCGAAATCCCCCCCCCCCTTTTGAAAGGGGGGGGGGTCCCCGACGACGGATCGGGAAAAGGGGGGGAGGGGGGGGTCCCCGACGACGGATTGGGGAACGGGGGGAGGGGGGGGGGTCCCTGACGACGGATCGGGGAAGGGGGGGGGTCCTACCCCCCCCTCCTTGGGGAGATCCAGCGGCTCGCTAGATTATCTGTTCTACCTTCCAACCCTTTCGCTTGGATGCCAGACTTCACGGAGCAAGGTGGTTCATGTTCAAATCGAGCCGTTCCCGCGCCCCCGCCTCGCAGAGCTGCGCTCGAGATGTGGGCGCCGGCCCTGTTCCTCGTGCTCCTCGCCGCGCCGGCCCTTGCGGGCGGCAGCGGCGGCGCGGGGGCCGCCTGCGCCGAGGGCGAGGAGGAGGAGGAGGAGGCGCACGCCCTGCTGCAGACTGCCCGGCAGGGTGGGGCCGGCGCAGCCGTGGCTGCCACTGGCGACCCCCAGCTTCAGAACGTTCTTGGCCAGCGGTTCGACTTGATGAAACCAGGAAAGCATGATCTGATTACCGCGAACGCCCACGGCAGTTTCGATTACGAGTCAAAGCGACCGAGCTTCAGTCTTTGTTCCATACCGTGTCGTGGCCCCAGCTCTGTCTACAATGCCAATTGCTGTTTGGGGGATAACTTCAGGGACAAATGTGAAGCATGCATGTGCGCCGGATTTGACGCGACATTGTGGTGCAACCGCGACCAGGACCCGTTCTCAGGCTGCAATCACGACGGCCAGTGTGGTACAAGCAGCGGGTGCTTCAAAGTATTGCCTTTTGGTTCACCATGTGCGGAGAACCAACAATGCGACTTTGATGGTAGAAATAAGGATACATATGGTGGTTGCGGCGGTGGACTCTGCCGCGACCTTCCCCTTATAGAGTTCATGTGATGGTAGCGCGACGTCGTCAAGCATTATCAGTCGCTTCCTCTCGTCTTGCAATGTCTGGTCTCCGCAGCGCGGCATTCAGTGCAGCTTACCTTTCGTCTGTAACCTTCGTTTTGGATGCAATATCGTATGATAGCATTCAGTGCAGCTTACCTTACGGTTGTCCTACTTTCAGATGCAAGTGGCCGGGCTCCGGCCCGCCCGCGCCCCCTTAGCCTGCCGGCCCGCCAGCCGGCGGACTCGCGCGTCTGCGTCTGCGTCTGCGTTATCACAACCTGCAAAGTCAGGCCGGAGACCTTGAGCATCGTTTAATGGCAGTGCGAAGCCGCCAAGCAGCATCAGTCGCTTCCTCGCGTCTTGCAGCGTCTGGGGTTTTCCTTCCTGCCTGCCCTCCTCCTCCTTCCGCGTGAAGACCTGGTCAGCTCCCCGCCAGGCGTTTTCCCGCAATCGGGGAAGCATGCGAGACCTTCTGAGAGTTATCGGTTAAATTATCACCGCAGTCTTGAAGACCTGGTCAGCTCCCCGCCAGGCGTTTTCCCGCAATCGGGGAAGCATGCGAGACCTTCTGAGAGTTATCGGTTAAACTATCACCACAGTCTTGAAGACCTCGTCATCTCCCCGCCAGGCGTTTTCCCGCAATCGGGGAAGCATGCGAGACCTTCTGAGAGTTATCGGTTAAACTCTCAACATTCGTGAAAAAAAACTTCACGGAGCAAGGTGCACTGCGCGAAGCGCCAGTGCAGTCTTGTGTGTATATATATACAGTATTATATACACATAGATGTAAATATGTTTTGCAGTGGCCTCCGGCCAGTGCCGCCGATCTGGGTGGCATTTGGCGGGGGGGTGATTCTGTTTTGTCTGCCTTGCATTTCGCAATACGAAAGCGTGAACGGGTGCTTCGTGGGCCGTCTTGGGCGGCCCTTGCCCCGTCTTGGGGCCCCCTCGGGAGCCTCTTGGGCCATCTTGGAGTGGTCGTCGGGGCCTTTTGGGCCGTGGTGAAGCGTCGGAAAGTCGAACAAAGCGACAGCCTCAAAAACGTAGGACAAAACAATGAAGATCAACGATTTTTGCCTCTTGGGGACCTCGTGGAAGGCCTCTTGGAGGCCTCTTGGGACGTCTTGGATGCCTCATTGGGCCGTCTTGGGGCCATCTTGGGCGTCTTCGGGCGGTCTTTGGGGGTCTCGGGGCTCTCTTGGACCGTCTCCAGAGGCCTCTGCGGCGGCGACCACTCTTTCGACGAATCCTCGAGACTATAGTCTTCTGAAACACCAGCCCCGGCAAGCGCCGGAAAACTCGTCCACCCCCCCCCCTCCTCCCCCCCTTCCCTGGCAGAGCCACCCCAGCACCCCCCCCCTGAGGCTGAAGCTCAGCCTCAGCCTCGAGACTGTAGCTGAGGCTCCTTCAAATTCACACGCTGGATCGGCGGATATACATTGTGTGTGCAACATTTGTTGCCCTGGGAACTGGCCGGAAGCTGATGCGCTCTACGTCGTCTTGTGGCATTCCCGCGACGCCCCGTGGGATAGGGCCCAGATTACCTCAGTGCATACAGTGGAAGCCCATGCCAAGAGACACCCTGCTTGCCTCCAGGGTGCCTTCGGTTTCTTGGGATTCCGCGGTTTTGCTATGGACAGCGTGACGTTCTCACACCAAAATACAAGGGAGTCCTGGGGTCTCAGGGTTCGATGTCTTGTGGAAGGTTTCTTGTGGTCGGGCTCCTGCTGTATATGCGCGCGCTTCCCGCTCAGCCTCGCAGCGCATGCGCGAGCGCCGCGCGGGCGAGCGCGTGGCGGCGACGGCGAGGCGCGCGCGTCCGAGGCAGCGGCGCCCCCGACCGACCCCTCGCAGCTCGCCGGGTGGCTGGCATCGCGGAGGAGGGCCACGCTCGAGCTGGCCGACGGCAGCGCCTTCGAGGGTTTCTCCTTCGGGCACCGCGCCCGACCCGTCGGCGGCGAGATCAGCACACTGCCCTTGCCGATCCATGGTTCGGGCAACTCGATGGACGGCGGGGGCAGGGGTCTGGAATTCGTGGAACACTTGGCGAGATCCACCCTCGCATACCATCGATTCAGGGGCATCGATGGTTGGTGGGGGTAGGGTTCGGAACCCGCCACCTCTTACGTTGCATCTTCGGGGGGCCTCGTTGCCCCCACCCAAATCGTGTCTGATACTGTGCCGGACGTGGGCTCGATGCGGACATGACGCGGATTGGCGTGGATTCGACGCGGATTTGAGTTGGATTCGAGGCGGATTCGACGAGGCCGACATGGATTGGACACGGACTCGGTGCGGATAGGTGCGCGACATAGCGCCGTTGCCCCTGCTTCGCCGCCGTACAGTCAACCGGCATAGTATGAATGAGCGACATTCCAAGGTTACCCTTGCATCCTTCCCTTCGGCCCATCCTTGGCCGCTCTCGCTGGTCGTGCCCCGCTCGCAGACTGTCGACACGGCATTCCCAGGCCTTTGCATCCTCATCCTGCATGCCTCTCCTACGGTTTGACTGCACGCAGGTCGGAGGCGGATGGAGGAGGGGGAGGAGGAGGAGGAGGGGGAGGGGGAGGAGGAGGAGGAGGGGGAGGAGGAGAGGAGGAGGAGGAGGAGGAGGAGGAGGAGGAGGAGGAGGGGGGAGGAGGAGGAGGAGGAGGAGGGAGGAGGGAGGACGAGGAGGAGCAGGAGGAGGAGGCGGAGGAGGAGGTGGAGGAGGGGGAGGAGGAGGAGGAGGAGGAGGAGGAGGAGGAGGAGGAGGAGGAGCAGGAGTCGCCGTCGATCAGAGGAGGGATCGGTGCCGAGATGTGCCGCTGCCGTGGCCTCGCGCGGGGCGTCCTGGGCCTTGCGGGTGAGGCCCCTCGTCGCCGCGGCCGGCTTTTCGGCTTCGAAGTCCTGTGCCGAAGGCACCTCGGGGGATGTCCGGGGGATCGGGGGCACGGGTATTCTGCACGAGGAACAAAAACGCACAGACACAGGGAATCGTCGGTCCCCAGGAATAGTATGGGGAAGTGGAATCGGGCGAAGAGAGCTATGCACATGCACAGACCCAGGATCGGTGCATATACCTTCCTGGCCAAGGTAAGAGGGCGTATGCACCGATCCTGGGCTCAGGATGGGCCTGGCCAGAATCGGTGTATGTGCATAGTTCTCTTTCCTCTAGTGGAAGGGAAGGCGGACATCCAGGAGGCACTGGGAACACATGGGGAACCTGGGGGCTGTGTCTCTTTCTTGGTGTGCCCCTGGGCCCCCCAAGTTTTCGCGTCTCCAGTTGATTGCCCTGCTCCTGGAGCGAAAACATGTGTCGAATCGCCTTCCCCCCCCCAGGGTGCCCATTTTGCTTCCTGTTCAATCATGTTCCCCCACCAGCTTGGGGCTCGCTCCCGATTTTTATGGCAGGGGGGGGGGTCCTGATGCTCGAGCGGCGTTGTTGGCCCGGCCATGTACAAGAACAGCGGTGCCCGCCCGAGAGGTGTTCTTAGTCTATTCGGGCGTCCAGTCGGGTCCACCGCCCATGTCAGATCTCTCCAGAAGAGGCAACGACTGATCCAAAACGGGGTGAGCATATTCCGAACTAGGGAAAGACCTTTCCGCATGTGTGTGTGTGTGTTTGTGTGCGCGCGTGTGTTTTGTATATCTTCCTGCGCTGCATCTCCTTTCCATGCCATCGCGAGTGGGCTCAATAATGCCATGTGGCTGATCGATACCAATATGTATGCCTCCTCGTATCCTCCTCTTGCTCCCTTAGTTTCGGTCCTCAATCCTCCTCCCTTTCTCTTGCCCGCCGTCCCTTACCGTTTCCGCCTTCATTCCTCGTTCTCGTTGTTTTCTCTTCCTATTCTCGGGGTCCCGCCTACTACACGTGGCAGGCAAGGGGGGTACGACCGAAGATGAAGAGTGTGGGTATCGATGGTCATGGCATCCGGCGGCTTGACGAATTTGAGTCGTCAGATGACTTGCAAGTTCATGCCTTTCGATGTGTTTTGTAGTTTCTCTATTTTCGGCCCTCTGTCAGCCTGCTCGTCGCCGCCGCTTCATTGACTTGAACGCTTGTTGAAAATGCACTTCTGAAAAGGTCAGTGGCCAATTTGGGCCCCTAGACTACGAACCCAGACAATCAGCGGCTCGAAGAAGCGGGTACGGCAGGTTGTCCCCTACTTTCTGGGCTGGTTTCGCTGCCTGGGGCGTCGTCACACATTACTAAGTTGCGCGCGGCAAGCCGAACTCCCCTCCCGCCACTCCTTCACGCCTTCCCCAAGGCATCAGGGTTCCACGACGGGCGAGGTTGTCTTCAACACGGGCATGGTCGGGTACCCCGAGGCCATCCTGGCTTGCGCTGCCATGCTGCTTGCCAGGAGGACGAGGAAAGAGCGAAGAGTGGCGCGAGGACGAGGAGGAGGAGGAGGAGGAGGAGGAGGAGGAGGAGGAGGAGGAGGAGGAGGAGGAGGAGGAGGGAGGAGGATCGAGGATCGAAGATCGCTTCCTTCCCTCCTCCTCCCTCCTTCACCCTCGGAGGTCTCCAAAAATCCCTGGACGTCCCTGGAGCCCGCGAGAGACCTCCGCAGGCCTCCAGAGGCTGGAGAAAAGGTAAACATTTAAACAACAGCAAACACTAACACAGTAACAGCAAATCGACTCGACCCTATCCTGTACACGGTCGCTCGGACCTCTTCCCTGAGATCGCCTTGGCCAGTGTCTCAAACTGCGCCCACCTTGGGTCAAGGGAGGCCTCCCGGAGGCAGTGCGCAATCCCAAACTCTCGGCGCACGTTGCGGGTCAGCGCTGGACGAGTGTCGGCCAATCCCCTTGAATTCGTTCTGGCTGACCAGAGTTTGGGTCGGAGGTTGATGGACCTCCTACCCTGATACGTCGATAAGCGAGTTGGCCGTTCTCGGTTCGCGAGAGGGCGTCGCGGCCGTCATTTTTGCAGGTCCAGGTCTGTCGGTTTCGATCCTAGGCCGTTGTCACTAAAGGGTGGTTTACTGAAGGGAGGTTTGTCCACCGCCGATTGGGAGCCGTGTGGAGCCGACCCCCCTTCCCCTCCGTCCGCTTCCCCAGGATTTGAACGGGGGTCAGCGCGTTCCCCCAAGGCTGCCCGAAGCCTCGCACCTCTCGCCCACTGTTGCCCTGCGTGTTCTGTCGAAGGATTGCTCGCTCAGGCTTTCCGCGCTTCTCCCCCCTTCTCTTAAGTCTGGCCCGTCCCTCCACAGGAGGAATATTCAACAATAGTAAAACAATAGTCAGGGGACGATTTGTTGAGTATTTTTTGACTATTGATGGGTTTTCTTTGGAGTATTTTTAATATCTCGCCTAAAATCCGCCTGTAAGGAGACATGCCCGACCTAACCCTTCTCGCCAGGCACCCTGGCCTGCTCCAGGTTCCCTGCCCAGGCGCTGTCCCGGTGGATACCTCCGTGCTCGGTGTCAGGCTTTACAGGTTTGCTCACCATTGGCTCGATCCCGTTGAGTGAGGCCTCTTCGACCGACACAGCGTCCGCGCTCACATCACCGCCCAACCACCCCTCTCGTCGGGATGTTTTTCGATGGTTTTTGGTGGGTTCAACAAGAGGCAGCAGTCTTGGTTTTAAGTATGTGGGGCCCCGTACCTCACCGAAACCTCATCGAACAACTCCCGATTTTTTTTTCGTTGCATTGTTTCGAAGGTTTCTTTTTTTTTTTGGGGGGGGGTCCGAAATACTATTGTTCTGAATGGTGGGGCCCCGGACTCCCCCGAAAAAAACCCTTCGAACAATCCCCCGAGTTGTGTTTCTTCGAGCGTTTATGCTACTGTTTTTGACTGTTGAGCTCCGCAACTCCCTCGAACAAATCCAGAAAACAAACCCTCCAACTCACTCGGTTTTCTCGGTGTCTTGGTTTTGTTTGTGGGAGGTGTTTTCAACATAGTTTTTTTTTTTTTTTTTTTATTTTTTTGTTGTTAAATCGTGGGACCCCGAGGTTTCCTGACACCCCGGAGAAACTCCCGAGTTGGGAAGGCTTTCGACAGGATTTTCGTGAGTGTCGGGGAGGTGTTCAGAAATATTGAGTTTTAAATCGTGAAGCCCCAAACCCTTCGAACAAACCCTGAGAAGCCTCCGAGCTGGGGGCTTTTTGTTCGAAAGGTTTTTCGGGAGGTTTTTTGGGAGGCTCAAACGTCGTTTTTTTTCTCAATTGTGGGGCCGGGACCCCTCCGGAAACCATTCGAACGAACACCAGAGTTGCACGGGTTTTCTGGTGTTTTTTGTCGGTGGTGTTTTCGTGTGTGGTTTCGGAAGTGCTCATGTTTTTCATTGTGGGCCACCGGAAGCCAGTGACACAAACACTCGAGTTGGGTTTTTGTTTCCCGTGTTTTCTTTCTGAAATGGTTCGGGGTGTTTCCGGGGGAGTGTTCAGAATTAGTATTGTTTTTCAAGTTTGGGGGCCCGGACCTCCCCGAACAATTTTCGACAAACCTTTGGGTTGGGGGCTTTTTTGCGGGTTTCCCCCTCGGACAATCTTACCGAGAACCCCCAGAAAACTATCCCGAACAACCCTCGAACAAAAACCTCCGAACGAAGAAATCCAAAGAGGGGTTCCCTAGGGAGGCTATCCCGAATTGCGATTTTGGAAGGTTTTCCCTGGCTGTCGCTCCTGGGAGTCCCCCAACAACCCACCGAAACAAAACCGCTAATGGGTCATGTTTTGTTTGTATTGGTTTCGGAAGTTCTTGGTGGGTTGATGTGCGTTTTTGGGCGGAAGAAGTTTTGTTACCAAGTGTGGGCTCACCGTAACCTCTCCAAAAACCCGCAGGCTCCCCCCTCCCTCACGGGATCCATGAAAGTAAATCCTCCGAATAATCCCCCATTGTGAGTTTTTGTTTGGGTTCTTTCGAGGAGGCCCCGGGGTGGTTCCATGGAGCTCCCACACTGGGCTTGATTCGATGCTTGTTTTGAGGGCGCGGTACGGGCCCAACCTACTGACGGATCTTCGGACTGTTGTTCGACTCGATTTTGATGCAAGTCCGACTCAAGGTGGAATCAAGGCGACGGACGTTCGACGCGTTGCCGACGCATGAGTGGAGCGAGTGGTTCCAGGAAGGTCCCCAGGACGAGCATCCAAGGGCGAGGTCGTGGATAGCACGGCTGGGGCCATGAAGCCTCCCACATTCCATGGCCCCCGTTTCTTGATTCAATGCGCTCCTTGTGGCCTCCGCGCGTGTTTCGGGACATGATTTGCTGCCGCCTCTCTTCTATGCCCCCCCCTTCTTTTCGGACGCCCCCGAACCGCCGACTGGTACCTTCAACCGCGCATTTGGGGCGGTTCAGGAAAGGCGTTGCCATCGAAGGATGACTGAGTTGACATCTCTTCCTCGGTCGGCGGTCGTGATTTGGTTCCCCTTTGTAGCGACTGCAGCCCGCCAGCCTCCTCTCGCGTCGGGCGACACGGGGGGAAATGGGAACGGGGGCCGGGCGGGGAGGGGGTGGCCCGGGGGGGCACGAGACTTTCTGCATGCGGCCTTGTCGGCCCTGCCGGGCACGTCTCTTGCCAAGCGCCGGGAAGCCGCCAGCCGGGGAAAAACAAGCTGCGTACAGCCAGCCACCCCTCCGTTCGGAGTGTGTGTGTGTGTGTGTGTGTCTCATCGTCGAACTCTTCGACGTCTGAGCGTCCCTTCTTCCTCTCTGTCGTCCCCCCCCTCCTCTTTGCCCGCTGGCCAATTCGCTAGTTTGTGCCTCGCCGCTGACAAAAAAGTGTGTGTGTGAGAGTGTGTATGTGTTTGTGTGTTTGAGTGTGTGTGTGTGTGTGTGTGTCTGTGTGTGCTTGTGCATCTTTGGTTCCACGCGATCGGCAGCCTCCTCCTCCACTTCCCCCTCTCCTCCTCTCGGGCGCTTTCCCGCCCAGGCAGACTGGGAGGCCTTCACAGGCAATTAGCGAGGATCGGTCTCGGCGCCGGATCCCAGAGATCCCGGGTGCATCCTGGTTCGATGCTGTCCCGGCCCTCCTCCCCTGCCTGCCCAGGGATCCCGCGCCAGCGGGGGACAGGGAACCAAACGCGCGCCCCGAGTCACTCACGGACCCATCGTACGCCGGGCAGATCTTAGTGCTCACGTTCCCCCTGGTAGGCAACTACGGCGTCCCCGACGAGGACCCCGAGGTTGGGAATGAAGACGAGGAGGAGGGAGGAAGATCGAAGATGGAGGATGAGGGACCAGAAAGGGGAGGATGGATGAGGGACGCGAGGACGGTGATGGGGACCGAGGAGGAGGAGTAGGACGAGGATGATCACGATGATGAGGGCCGATGAGGACGCAGGTGGACTGTGTACGAGGTCGCTTGAGAAAGACGATGAGGGGGACGAGTATGGGGAGGAGGGAAGAGGGCGTGCAGGACACGGAGGATCGGCCATCGAGTTACTGTGGATACTCGTCGTTTTGGGCGGGGGGATTGGGAGGAGGCGGGAGGATAGAAGATTGAGGCTCGAGGTTCTGTCGCCTGTGGGCCCCTTGTCGGCCACGGCCAGACGCGTCGACCAACTTCGCCGTGATGGACCTCAGAGGGGTGGGGAGGAGCAGAGGCAGGAGGTTCGACGGTTGGTCTCCGACGACCGCACCTGTCATACGGGGCAGGGATCGCCGAACACAGCCCTGCATGAGCACGACTCCCATGCGTTCGGATGCAGCGGCCTGGGGGGCCGTCGAGGCCTCGAGGGAGCTGGCCGGGGGAGGCGCCGCCGCGGCGGCCTCGGTGGCCTCGGTGCCGCCGCTGCGCCGCCGGTGGCGGCCCCCGGCCGCGGGGCGGAGGCGCGGCTCCCCGAGGCTGCCGCCGCTCGGCAGCTGTGCACGGACCCGCGGCCCCGTGCAGGGCGTGCGGAAGCCGACCGCGCAGCAGCCCGGAGCAGAAGAGGAAGAGCAGACAAGCAGAGAGAGAGAGAGAGGGGTCCGAGGAGGAAAAGGTACCCACACCGCTTCCCTGCCCCTCGTTTTCGCCCTCGGGGGTCTCCTGGGAGGCCCTCATCGCCATCGCTTGATTCGCCTCGAGATCAGGGTCAGAACGCACCCTGGGAGAGCTTCGGGGAGCAGCGGTATCGGTACCGCTTAGTTTTCCTGAGAGAGAAGGAGGGAGGGCCATCGTTGTTTTATTCACTGTTCTGCCGATCCGCGCTGGCCCTCGCCCCCCCCCCCCCCCTCCGCGAGCTGGTGGCACCCCGTTCTGGGCTCGCCCCCTGAGGAGTGCCCCGCACGGAGTGTCACCAGCTCGGGGGGTGGCCCCCATGGAATTAAACTTGCCTGTTTTGTTTGGGGCGCCTGTTTCAAGCAGGTGTAGCAAGCACAGGGGCCCCGCCTCCCCATAGGATTCCCCGTGGGAGCACTGTTTTAAACAGTCGCACTAAGCAGAGGTCCTGAGCCAGACACCCCCATCTCCCTCCCCTCCCCTGTCGCCCAATGTCGAGACGCCACATAAGAAAACGCTCGCAAGGGGTCCGCGCGACGACGACAAGAGAACGACGAGAACGACGACCGCCGCGCCCGCCGCCGTCCCGCAGCTCCGCGCCCGCTCGGCGGGCCCGCGCCCCCCGCCCGCGCGCGCAGGCGCTGGGCGGCTAGGGCGCGGGCCACTTGCGGGCGCTCCTTAATTATCCTAATGACTGGCACCACCTTATCCCGATGCCCGTCGTCAGGATTCTCTCCGGTTCTGATGGCTCATCCCGCGGTTGTAGTTGGCTTTCGGCTCGCTCATCTTAAGGACGAGGATAAGCTCAAGGCCGATCACCAGTTGCCCGCCTGCATGACTTGTTCCACTGCGCGAGGAAGTCTGGGCGCGTCACGAGTTGAGCGCTGGCGTGGCTTCGTCCACAGCGCCAGGAAGGTCTGGGCTCGTCACCAGCAACCCGCCTGCGTGACTTTCTTTTTCGACGTCGCCCAGAATTCTGGGCTCCTCACCAGTTGCCTGCCCTCGTGACTTTTCCCACGGCGCGAGGAAGCTTGGCTCTCGACGGCGCGGTGGTTGCACGCGGTGGGTTGCGCAGGCCGCGGAACTTGCGCAGGCCGCGCGCGCACGGCGCACGTGCGGGGGGGCCAGGGGGCCATTGTGGCTGCGAGGCGGGGATGTGTCCATACCCACCGCCCAGGCTATCAATATTTGGGGGCCGCGGCAGGCGTTGGGTCAAGGACGCATTCATCCGAGGCGGGGATTGACCCATAACCACCGCTGAACGATCTTCGCGGACCTCCACAGGCGGTGGATCTGGATAACTTCGAGTCCCCGGGTTCCAAACTATATCCATATCCACCGCTCGCTGGGGCACCAGGGCGTCGGTTTCCAGGCGGTGGATGTGGATAAACTCCCGCCTCGCAAGTCGGGCTCGTGTGTGGGGAGCGTCGAGATACAATGCTGATGATACGGTCCGAGATTTCTGGAACTTGCGAGATTCCCGAGATCCCGTACGGGCTGCCGAAAAAGGGCCGTTAGATGCGATCGAAATGTCTGGGACGCATCCTGAGCCAATCGTATCATCGAATCCTGACACCACTACTGTCCTATGTTCACACCCGCCGCCAACAGAATTCCCGGAACATCTATCCCCAAGCGGAGGGGCATGGTGACCGCCTGGCGTCGAACAACATCAACACACACATATCGGCGATTTGCCCCCCCCCCCCCCCCCCCCCCCCCACTCCTGGCGCGCCGAACGTTTGTGGAGGGCGGCAGGTGCCACGCGGGGAGGGGCGGATCGCGCGCGTGCCCCCCCCCCCCCCCAATACTTTGGGAGCGACGGATGCCTCCCTGCTAGCAGTTGGGGCCAGCGAGGCCCGACAAACAAAACGCAGCATAATTTGGAACAGGGTGGGTGGCCGATGTGGCCCAGCGCTGGTTCCAGTCGGCCCAAGTGAAGAAGAAAAGGGCCTCTCGTCGCCTGGCAGCGGCAGGATCGTGTCCTGCCGACGCGGGGGCGACGCTTTGTGGTCAAGTTTCGGCCATAGAATGGTCTGGTTTTCGAAAAGCCGCGATTTTCCAATGTCGACCGATTCACCCCGACGCGAACTTGCCATAATATGTTACAGTGGTTTTGGCCAGATCCCGTATGCAAAACAACCGCCGCGATGAATACGAGTCGCGCGTCGACCAGCGCCTTGTGCGGCGAGCGCGCTCTCGACCGAGTTGGAGCGCAAGCGGCGCAGCTCCGCGCGAGGCCAGAGCGTCGCCTCGCCACAGACCAGGGGCCGGACCGGGGCGACGGTCGCGCGTTCGGCCTGCCCTTGGCGAGCCCCTGGGCCTTCCTCGGCCGTCTTGGTCAGTGCTGTCCTCGGCCTCGCGGGCTAGAAGGACGGATGGCGGTTCCCTGCGAATCAGACGGGGCGTTTGCCCGAGATGGCGGGCGAGCGGGGCGTTCGCCCTGCAAGTGGGTGGCGCTGTTCCACAAGGCAGCGGAGAGGGGTCCACGACGAGTGAACCCGGGACGAGAGGGCGTGGCGCGGCGCGTCGTCGCTATCTCATCCCAGGCTCGAGGAGGAGGAGGCGGAGGAGCAGGCGGAGGAGGAGGCGGAAGCGGAGGCGGAGGCGGAGGCGGAGGAGGAGGCGAAGGAGGAGGCGGCGGATGAGTTGACGGAGGAGGAGGAGGCTGAGGAGGGGGAAATTTCGTCAGACGACTATGCAGCCACCAGGTGGCAGGTGTCATGCGGAGGAGGAGGCGGAGGCGGAGGAGGAGGTGGAGGAGCCCCCCCCCCTCCTCGGACTGCGACACTGGAACCCCCGCTCCTCCGTGGAGGAGGGATGTAACGGATGGGAAGGGACGTGCTCGCGTTCGCGCCGCTGCTCGCCTGCACCAGCCGCCGATCGTGCTTCACAGTTCCGTCCTGTCAGGTTTGTTGGCTGCACAGCGGTCGCAAGGTGCAAAGGCCGCCCCATCTATGATTGAGCAGCGCAAGCTGAAGAGGAGACGGTCGAGGAGGATGAAGAGGAGGCCGATGACGGTGGAGCGCGCCGACGCCCGTGCCCGACCCCGCGTTCTTTGTTTTCCAGGAGTGCGACGCGCTGGGCTTGCTGCGGCACTTCGAGAGCAACAAGATACACATCAAGGCCGCGGCCCTGTCGGTGTCCTCCCCAATCCCTCCTCACCCTCCTCCCTCCTTCTCATCCCCCTTCCCTCCTCCTGCTCCATCCTTCTTCCTAACAGCTAACTCCTCCCTGTCGCACCTCGGGGCGGGTCAGTAGGGTGGTCGCGGCGTAGCGCCTGACATATCATCAGCATCATTGGCCCTGAAGGTTAAGGTTTGCAACAGCTTCACTGGTGGAGTGCGGGTGGTTTTGAACATGTGGTTCGCTCTCTAACGCCGCGCACATTCTGTTTCAAGTTGGACAGAATTTTCACAGATGGGTATGGGGTGGTATTCCAAATGTGGTTCTCGTCTTGGCACCGCGCGCATTTGTTTTGAATATTGAACGGTTTTCAAGGATGGAGAGCAGGTCGTTGTCAAAATATGGTTCTCGATTTTAGCGCCGCCGGTATTCGCCTTGAAAGTTTGTGAGAGGTTCACTGATGGAGGCCAGTTCTTTTTCGAACTGTGTTTTCGTTTTTAAGCACCCCGCACCTTCGGTTTAAACGTTTGCGGCAGTTCGGAGTTGTTTTTCGGTTGGCGCCCATATATGGTTTTTGGGGGCGATGTCGGATTGTCAGGACGTGACAGTCACATTGATTTGGGGTGATGAAGTCCCAGACATTGCGCTCTGGGACCATTCCGGATCGTCAGTACGCAAGAGTAACATTGATTCGCGGCGCTGAAGTTCCAGAAATCGTGCTTTGGCATGGATGAAGATTTTCAGACGTTTGTCTTCCAACATGGCGCTTCTCGCAGTGAGCAGTCATCTTTGTAGGGACCTATGAAGAGGGAAGGTGACTCTAAAGCGAGTTGGGGACAAAGGGAGCGGAAACGAGCGTGTGCCCGCGGCCGCGTCGGCTCAAGTGGCCGGCCGCCAAATATGACTGTGCCTCACTGCGAGGCATATTATCCGCCATCGAGACCAAAAGGATATTCCTACTGCTGAAGATGGCACGCCCTCTACTTTTGAAACTAGCGTTGCTACGGTACAACAGAGCTGGGGTTGGGCTTCGCCTAAGGCGAAGCTGTTGGTTGGGCCTTCCAACTTTTTTTCCGACTTGGTAGCGGAGCTGGCCTATGGTGGTCAGTTCTTGCTCTACTCTTCACCATCCACGGCATTATCTGGTGGACTACAGACGTGGTGGAACATCAGGGTGCAGTGGGTTTGCGCGGAGGAATGTATATAACTACGCAGTATCGCGAGGACACTTGCAGTGACATTTCTTTCTGCTTACGCGGAGGCCTCTTACTTTCGTCCTACATCCCTTCGCTATTACAGTCCCGAAGTCCACCCACCTACTCCACTTGGAAACTTCTTCGAAGACATAATGCAAGGAAACATGCGATACGATACGGTGCCGCCTCCACCCCCACGCAGATTTACGACTGCACAACGGAAGCCCCAAAGGACTACACCCGACCACGACTTGCGAGGCCATTGGATTGGTGTTACGATCTTTGGGCTCACATTGGTCGCTATCGGGTGTGCGGTCGGACACATGCGTGGCGGAGACGACACAAGCACGACCGGCCCTCATGAGGACCTAGCCGGTCAGGTACCTTTCCGCGAATTCGTTCGCGAAGTACATGCGTGGATCAACATGACCACAGGCAGCGTGACGCCCTCCCACCAAGCTGCAGCCCTGCAGCGAGGCTTGGGAGGCCTCGCGCGGACCATAGCCGTGAGAGTCCCTCCAGCAGTTATCAACTTTGGCGTTAACCTAGGAGGCCGCCATACCGACGGCGTCACCTACATCATGTTCCTCTTAAGCACGAAGTTCGAGAACTTAGAAGATGAACGCCAACTCAACTCTGGTACAGCTCTCATTGACTTCGAATCCATGCGGGAGAACGAATCGACCAGACGCTGGCGCGCTTCGAAATAGCCCGCTATGAAGCTGAAGCGGCAGGCTTTAACATCCCCAATTTCCAAATCTTAGCCGTCATTTTATTCAGAGCCCCTGGAGTGGAGGCATCGCGTGCATAGCAACTCCTGCAGCCACTAAACCACCACATGTCGAGAGACCAGCAACAATTTGATGCTCTACTCGAACGCATGAGATCATGTGCACACATTGCTGAGAGAACCCCGGGCAATATTGGTGGTATTTCCAGTCGCGGTCAGCGAACCGAGACCTTCCACGCTGAGGCAAACGCAGGGCAACCTGCTAATATCGTCTGGAATGACGATCCACAACCAATTGAGACCACTGCGCTACTGGCTTAAAATGGTGGACCGGCCTCAGGGTCGCAAGACCCTTGGGCCAGGCTTCGGGGGCCGCCCGACGCGGTTTCCCCTGCGCAAGCCACAGCCCTAATGGGCTCGGCGGGGCAACCTGCCGAATCCGACTTCGACTCCGGTACTGGCGCCGATGCGTCTTCGGACGATGAGGCCACAGCCCTTGACTGCCCCGATATGCCTACATACCTCACGGAGGAGCAACAGGCGCAATTGTTATTCTTAGGACACCAGAAACATAAGCGCAGATGGAGGCGATTCACGAAGAAGCCAGTCCGTCAGGTACGGCGTATCGTACGACGAGCACCCAAGGGAAAAGGCAAGGGTCAAGGTATGGGTAAAGGTAAGCGTCGTCGATTTGCATGGTAGAGGCATATTAGGATTTTTAGCATCCCTTACCGGGCCACAATATGAATCTATATTTGTAGGTGCAGGCAGGAATCGCAGGAATACACAAGGAGAAGGGGCGTCGGGGAAACCCGAAGGATACCAATGACAAAACTATGGAGTGCGACATATGCCACAGTGCACAGCGCTTTCGCCGCGAATGCCCTCAAGGCGATGGGGCAGGCAGAGGTCCGTCGATACATTTGGCTCAAACTGATTCAGATATACCGTGTGTTGACAGGGGGTCACTTGTAGCCGACCCTGCCGATAGCGCAGCCGCAGTTGTGAACTTCATGGCTGCCAGATATTTGAGTGCCAGTATCTCCCTCGAGAATTGCGCCGACGAGCTGTTCGAGGAGGTATTCACTGGCCACAGTGATATTGATCAGGCAGACTGGCTGGGCGTGCCCATCGCGGGGCAACCTGCAGGTGCTGAATTTGTCGAGGACTTCCACGCGCCCGCCGAAGGAGATGCCGAAATGGCGGGGGCATCCGCGGATTCAGAGGCCACTATTCCTGCGGCAGAAGAGGGGGCGCAGTTGATGCTTTATCCTCGGGTCATTGGAAATCCGACAAACGTGGAATCAAGGGGTGATGACCTGTTGCGGGGGGACCTGCGAGACGTTAGTGATCTGTCTGGGCGCGTCCAATATGAGCTTGGCCATGATGCAGGATTAAAATTCGCATTTGTAGCTTCGGGCCGTTCCATGGGCCGCCAGGGGCGATCGGCAAGCCGCCAGGTCGGGGGGGAATTCATCGCGTCGACGACGGTGACGACGCGAGGGCAGATAATGATCGTCTGGTACGTCGCGGTCGGATCCCGAGTCGTTCGCCCGACCGCGCGCGCGCGCGCGCTCCAGCGGCGCTCGCTCTAGCGGCCTTCAGAGCCCTCATCCTCCTGGCGCGGTGGCTCCAATGGCCCCTCCATGGCGGACCAATCGACCTGGCGCCCCCCCGAGGGCGGGGCGTCTGCGGGGGCGCCCGCCCCAAGAGGATCAACCGCGAGGTGAATGTCCAGAGGGCGGAATGCAGCGCCCTGCTGGCTACGCGGAAGCAGGGTTGGCTCGTCGGCGCATGCGCCCCGATAAGATGCGATGTTGGTTGAGCAAGGGTTGGGCTGAGCACCGGATTCGTCGCTGGCATTCCCTTCGCAATATTAAACGAGATGAAGGCGGCGAGATCATTCGCTTCACAAGGACAGGACTGTTAAAACACAAGAACAAATTGCCAATCGCGACCTCGAGAAAGCTATCATTTAGGAACGGAAACTTTACATGGGCGCTTGTTGCGCGTGCCCCGGATGCGCCGACCGCGGGCCTGGCTGCCCCGTGAGGCGCCCGTCGCGAAGCCCGAACTTTAGGGGGGCGCCGTGGGGTAGGTCCCATGGTGATGGTCGGGCTCACTGCGCCGATCCTAATGCGACGCCGTGTGAGGAGCAGTTGACGGAAAACGGCTACGAGCAAGCTACAAGCTACAGTCAGTGAAGTATCCCAATAATTGCAGATATGGCAACGCCTTTCACACTGTCATCATTTGAATCAGTTTAATCGCGACTGGCACGCGGGGAAACCCGCTTCGTATAGATCAGGAGAAGATGATCAACGGGAAGCTGTTGAAGATGAAGCTAATGCGATGGCCGAAGAGGTAGACCCCGCGGAAGAAGCTCCCGAAGGGTGCGCCTCGGGCAACTCCACGATCGCGGACGTCGCGTGCAATGCGGGCACCCCCCCGTAGATCCTGAGTACGCCGTCGCAGCAGAAATGGATCTGCCTCCTGAAAGACGGATTGCCTGCCGCGCTTTAGGCGTCGGCTGGTTACAGACCAGAATAGAGGCTTAGCTCTACCAAGTATCTCTTGGCCGGGAAGCAAAATGCCGCGATTGAGAATCTGGCCTGCAGAACGCCAGACGGTAAAGACCTGAACCCTGACATGGGCCCTGTGCGTCGTGGGCCATGGATCCCTGCAGGGGCAGCGGCTAAGGCAGCTCCCGAGCCGAAAACAGATCCGCCTATTGATATTGCTCCATCTTCGGATTCGTCGAGTCCGTCTAAGTCGCTCGGACCTGATCAGCTCAGACCACCGCCCAAACAGGGGAAAAGAGAGAGCCCAGATGATCCTCACCCTGTAGACACCAAGCACCAACGACCTGCGGGGCAACCCGCTGGACGACGTCGATCCAGAGGACCAGCAGCGGCTGCCGCGGCAGCTGCGTTTCAAGGCACCAGCGCTCCAACTCCGAATGGCCGTGTGCCACGTCGCGGCCCAGCGCGGGGTCGGGCGCGCAGGATTGGCTGGATGCCGGCGCTGGAAGGACCATCAAGGGATGCTTCTTCAACGCGGCGTGGTGCCGATAT